TTTCCCTCTCAGTATCTCTCTCAGGCAAGAGCTTGTGCCCTATACCCCCCCACCCCCCACCAGTAAGTGGCATGGACTCCCATATGGCTAACCATGATTTGAGTCTCAGATTTGGCAGCTTGCTTTTTCACTTTTCCTCTTTTTTTGTGACTCTTTCTCATCAAATTAAAAAATAATGATGAATAAAATTAAATAAAGTGATTCTTTTAAAAAAGGAGGGCTTACATTCTAAACTTATATATTAAGCCATTATGTTTGATTTATTCATTGATAAATCATTTATTTATTGATAAATCATTCATTTATGTATGATTTATTCATTGATAAGGCATATGAATTTCCCCAAGTAAAATGCATTAGAGAGTCAGGAACGTGGCTTGAAATATCATTGACTATTTCAACTTGTGCAATTTTTTCTGCCCACAGATTGGTTAAGATAGCAGAATCCCGTTTTCCCAGGTATTTTAACACTGAAGAAAAATTACTTTCGACAAGTAGTAAAGTTCATCTTTATCGGGAGCTCACCTGTGATGAAGTTCTGCAAAGGTATATACTATTTTAAATTTTGATATTTTAATTATGTTTTGAAGATAAATATTTTATTTTCCATGTTTTTTAGCTTCTAAGAAAAAAGTTCCTTATTTCTTAGAATTATGGGAAATAGGAGCCAGCGGATGACATAATGGCTATGTCCCTGGACCCCACGTAGTCGACTGCGGTTCAACCCGGACCCAGTAGCTTAAACTCATGCCAGACACGTGTGCGTGTATGCCCAAAATCCCAAGAGGAGAATGGAGAAGGGATTGTGGCATGGCCATCCGCTCTGAGGGGTGATTTCTGCTTTTTGTCTCTCTGTCTTTCTGACAAGTGCACGTGCCCTATAACAAAAACCTCTCTCAAAAAAAAAAAGGAATAATTTCATTGTTTGTTTGTTTATTTATTTATTTATTTATTTATTAGATTTTTGCCAGAGGGCATGTGTGCTTGTGTGAGAGACACATGCTGCAATCCCTTGTCCTTCATTTCCCCATCCCGTTGGGATTCTAGGCATGCATACACATGTGCCTAGCATATTTTTTCAAGTAGCTGGGACCAGGATGTGAACTGTGGTCAGCCATGTGAGATTCACTTCCCTTAACCATTCAGCTACAAGGCCAACCTGGAAGCTATAGTCTTTTTTATAACCTACTTTTAGAAATGATGTATTGTTGTTCTGTCAGGTGCTATTGGTCACATAGATAAACTCTGTACTGTCACAGAACAAGTGGGTCCATTGCCTAGTGTGCATACATTGCCAATCACTATGGTAACAGGTAACAGGTCTTAGAGTAAGAAAGTTTTATTGCATAACTAGCATGGAAGCAGAAGCAAACTTTAAATTGGCTTCCTCTATTGCAATAATTTAAAAAATTATTATTTTTTAAAATAATAATTTATTTCTTTAATTCCATTTGCTATTCTTATCTTAAAATTTGACCAGAGAGAGATGGACAGAGAAGAGAGAGAAACGAAAAGTGAAAAAGCAAGGCACCAGGTCTGGAACTAGAACTGTAGTCGACCATGTGGCAACCCCACACCTTAATCTCCATGTTACCTGCCAGCCCCTGATGGTGGGTTCTTTCATAGCTCAAGGAACAGGGAGGGAGTTATGTGGTAATGTTTCTTGCCTGTCTCAGATTGGTTGGTTAGAGACTGAAAGAGAAACCACTTTTAGGTTATTTGGTGCTAATGGAGTGAGATTGGCAGTCAAGGATTGATTACTGCTAGGATATAGGGTGATGTTTTCCAGTCCCAGATTGGTTGGTGCTGGGATTTAGGGCCCTTTCCACTTTTTCTTTTTTTTTGGAGAGGTTTTTGCTATAGGGCGTGTGCGCTCGCCAGACAGACAGAGAGAGACAGAGAGATAGAAAGCGAGAAATCACTCCCCAGGGGGGATGGCCATGCCACAATCCCTTCTCCTCTATTCTCCTCTCGGGATCTTGGGCACGCATGCACACATGCCCAGTGTGAGTTTTAAGCCACCGGGTCCAGGACACGAACCGCGGTCGACTACGTGGGAGTCCAGCGACATAGCCATTACGCTAACTGCTGGTCCCGAGCCCTTTCCACTTTTAATATCATTCCCTGAAATAGGTCCTTTTTTATTTTATTTTATTTTATTTTTTTGAGAGGTTTTCACTATAGGGCGCGTGGGCTCACCAGAGAGGCACAGAGAGACAGAGAGACAGAAAGCAAGAAATCACCCCCCCGGGGGATGGCCACGCTGCGATCCCTTCTCCTCCATTCTCCTCTTGGAATCCTGGGCACGCACGCACATGTGCCTAAGTTTTAAGCCACCGGGTACACGGTCAACTACGTGGGAGTCCAGCAACATAGCCATTAAGCTAACTGCTAGTCCCATTCCCTGAAATAGATCCTTATTTCTTTTCTTTTTAAACATTTTTCCAGAGGGTTTGTGCATTCACCAGAGAAACAGGGGAAGGGAGAAATCACCCCAACACTCCTCAGTGGGACATTGTCATTCTGCAGTCCCTTCTCTTTGATTTCTTCATTCTGTTGGAATTTTGGACACACATACACACAAGCTTGGTGTTTTTTTCAAGCCCCTGGGTCCAGACTTGAATTGCATGTTTGGCTATGTGGGATCTGGTTCCCTTAACCCATAGACCACAGGGGCAGCCTGGTCTTATTCTTTTTTGGGGGGTTTCCAAGAGCATTTTATTTCCCCTACAACTGAGGTCATCTGTAGGTCACTCAGGCCTTTGAGCATATGCAGGCTGCAACTAGGCTTATGTAACAACAGTTAATACTAGGTGTTTTCCTTTTAAGCCATTTCTGGCTAATTACAGTACAGTATGGGTGGGGATGACACAAGGGTGTGAAATAGTAAGAGGCTGGAATAAGTGGGGCCTTTATGGAGACTAAGTATCACAAGTAGTTTTACCCTAAACCAGGAGCTTTAGCAGCATTGTAGGAGATCCAAGGAATTATGAAAATAAAGAAAAGTATTTTGCTCTATTTCCAAGAGTATAATATAATGTGTGTGTGTGTGTGTATGTATGTGTGTGTATATACACACATATATACAGATATATATATATATATATATACACAGATACATATACAAGTATATTTGTGTGTATACACACACAAGTATATATATGAGCTGAAAATAAGTTATATGTACAGGATTCTTGTAATCATTACGGTTATTTAGGGAAAAACAATTTGTTATTGTTGATGTATAGTGAATGAATGTAAATAAATAAATATAATAAAAAATTCATGATAAAAAAAGAAAAACAATTTGTTATTGTTTAAGTTGATAAGCCTTTGCAATACCCTACTTTTTTTGTTTGTTTGTTTAAAATGCTGTAGTGTGTGTGGGCTCACTGGAGAGAGGGACAGTGAGAAAGTGCCCCCAATGGCGGATGCCCACTCCATAATCCCTTTTCCTCCGTTCTCCTTGTGGGATTTTGGGCACATGTACATGTGCTCAGGCTGCCAGGGCTGAGGCTTGAACTGCTCTGTTGGTCATGTGGGGCCCAGCCCCTTTAATTACCATGCTACCTACCTGACCTATGCAATACCCTACTTCTAAAAATTAAAGTTTTTAAAAATTATTTTTTATTTTATTTTATTTATTTTTTGAAAGATTTTTGCTATAGAGTACATGTACTCATTAGAGACAGAGACAGAGAGACAGAAAGCAAGAAATCACCCCAGGGGGGGAGATGGCCACTCCGAAATCCCTTCTCCTTCATTCTCCTCTTGGGATTTTAGGCATGCATACACACATGTCTGGGATGAGTTTCAAGGCACTGCATCTGGGACGCAAACCACTGGTCATGTGGGAGTTCAGTGCTTTAACCACTACACCCACCTGCTGGCCTTCATTTTCATGTTTTGAATGAAAAGATAGTTACTATTTCTGGTATACATATAATCTGTGTATATCTTTGTGGGCCATAGAATGGTTTTAGAGGTATGCATACTATATACAATAATCAAATCAAGGATATACCCATATTCATCTTCTTCAACATTAAACATTAGAGTATATCGTGCACATTTGTTAATAGTTCTACTATTCAGGGGTTGACAGGTGGTGTGATGGTTAAGGGTGCTAGACTCCCACATGACCAACTGCAGTTCAAGTCCTAGGACCTGGCGTGGTGGCTTGCTCTCTCCCTTTCCCTCTCTCTCTCTTTCTCACACTCTGTCCCTCTCTAGTCAAATTAAAATAAATAAAGTAAAATAAAATAATTAAAAAAATAATTCTATTCAAAAAGTATATATTTTGGAATATATTAAATTGTCCATATTTTTTATTCTGCTATGATTCACCATCCTGTAGCCTCTTTTCTTTATTTACCTGCATTCTTCTATTCCTTATAAATTTTCTTATGAACTCTCCCACCTTCCCCCAAACCTCTCCTGGTATGTACAATTATGTCTCTATTTCTATGCGTTTGAGTCCTTTAGTTTCTACCTTAGAGACATTTAGTATATGTTAAGTGGGAATATGTTCAATACCCTATTTTAAAAAATGATATTTTAAATATACTTACTATTTTATAAATTCTGCTTGTATAGGATTGAATCTTTGGAAGAAGATATTATTTCAAAAGGAGTTAAACTTGTGATTATTGACTCTGTTGCTTCTGTGGTGAGAAAGGAGTTTGATACCCAACTTCAAGGTAATATGAAAGAAAGAAACAAGTTCTTGGCAAAAGAAGCATCCTTATTGAAGTATTTGGCTGAGGAATTTTCAATCCCGGTAAGTTTTTCTTTCTTTCTTTTTTATTCCTTTCCTTTCTTTTATATTATATTCACTGGTTTATATTATTAAGTAATAAAATGAGAGGAAATGTAAAACAGATGACTTTTTTAAAGGTAATATAGGTCTAATTGCTATGGCTAGTAACACCATCTTCTTAAATTAGTTTATCTGCTGAGATTATTTTACTTTTTCCATAATTTGAGCCTGGCACAGGTTCAGTTTTTTTTTTCTGAGAATTATTTTACTTAACTTTATTTATTTGTTTTTAATTTGACCAGAGAGGGATAGAGTGAGAGTGAGAATGAGAGAGTGAGAGAGAAAGAGGGAAAGCCGCCAGGTCCAGGACTTGAACCTTGGTCGGCCATGTGGGAGTTGAGCACCTTCAACAACCATGCCACCTGCCAGTCCCTCAGTTTTGTTTTTTAAGAGAGACTTTTGGTATAGGGCACACGTGCTTGCCAGAGAGACAAGAAAAGAGAGATAGAAAGCAAGAAATCACTTCCCGAGGGGATGGCCACACCATCTCTTCTCCACTGTTCTCAGGATTTTGGGCATATATGCACATGTGCCTGGTATGAGTTTCAAGCTACCAGGTCTGGGACACGAACAATGTGGCCATGTGGGAGTCCAGTGATGTAACCATTACATCATCCGCTGGTCCCTAAGTGTTTTTATTTTGTTTTGTTTTGTTTTAAGATACTTTTTTTCTATAGGGCACATGTGCTAGTGGAGAGACAGAAAGAGACAGAGAGACAGAAAGTGCAAAATCACTCCCCAGGGGGAATGGCCTTCTCCATTCTCCTTTTGGGATCTTGGGCACACACACACATACACCTGACGTGAGTTTGAAGCCCCTGGATCTGGGACTCAGCCGTGGTGTACCACAAGGGAGTCCAGCAATGTAACCATTCCGCCATCTGCTGGTCCCCCTAAATTTTGTTTTTTTGAAGTTCCTATAAGTCATTCCTTTTATTCCTCCTTATTATTTACTTTTGTGTATGTTCTGTATAATATTTCCTATAATATTTACTGAGATAAATATTAAGTAGTAAAACGCCATGAAATTGTCTAGGTCTATTTCTGTGCAGTTTTTCTTATACTGTGGTAGTTATATATTTTAAGAGTATTTTAAGTTTAGATACTATGTTATTGTGTTAAGTGCTATTTTGTACATAGTAAGATTTGGATTGCTTCACATGGCCAGATGTCATCTTTCTATTAAGGGGTGTTCTGAGTGACAGTGCCAGTAAGAAAACCTTGAGGGGCTGGCAGGTGGCATAGTGGTTTAAGGCGCTGGATTCCCACATGGCCAACGATGGTTTGAGTCCTGGACCTGGCGCCTTGCTTTCTTGCTTTTAACTTTCTTTCTTTCTCTGTCTGGTTTAAAATGACAATAATAATAATAAATTTTAAAATGATAATAATAATAAATGGAAACAAATAAATAATTCTAAGAAAAAAAAGAAAACCTTGGAAGATTACTGTTGACATGGCTTTTAGTAGTGGACATTGTATTCAGGAAATCTAAAGATAGGGAATATTGCAAGGGTTTGTGGTGTATAAGCTACAAGATGCGTGTTCTACATTACATTGCAATCTGCAGCATGTGGGAGAGTTCTACTGTTCTACAGCCTCATCAACATTTAGTATTGTCAGAGTTTTCAATTTTATCTATGCCTCATCTCGATAGAATAAAATCCCTTAAACTAGATAAAATTTTGAAATGATTTCATAATTTTTCTATTTGTTTATAAAAAATTAAAATCTTGGATTTTTGTAATTAAAGAATATATGTAGTATAAACTGCTACAATAGTCTTTGAGATTTATGAAGCTGAGCAAGAAATTAAGGGAGAAAATGTGGCATACAAAAAATTCTACATATTTTAATGGCTTTTAATTTACATTTTGGATTAAAGTCAATTACTCTAAATTTTTCTTTGGGTGATGCTCACCTTTTTTTTTTTCTTTGCCAATAGGCACATGCACTCACAAGAGAGAGACAAAGAGGGAGAGGCAAAGAGAGAGCATCGCTCATGGGGAATAGTCATGCCACCAATCCCTTCTCCTCCATTTCTCCATCTTGTTGGGATTTTGGGGACACACACAAACACATACGATCAGTGTGTTTCACAAGCCATCAGGTTTGGGACTTGAACTGCAGGTCAGCTATCTGACTGCCTTAACTCCAGACTACGGGTGGGCTATCTGAGATCTGGCTGCCTTAACTGCAGACACAGAGTTAGCCTGCTGAATTTCTAATTCTACCATTTTACCTACATTTATTAATTGGCTTTCTTCTGTGAAAAAAAAAAAAAAAGGTTTCTTTTTTCTTCCATTTACTTATCTATTTTTATGAACTCATGGATTTTTTTTTTTTAATTCAGTGGGCCATAAATAATTCCTATTATTTTTTGTTTCACTGCTGAAGTTGTCCCAAACTTGGCTGGTGAAAGGCCCTTCATGCTGGGACCAGCAATTAGTGTAATGGCTATGTCGCTGGACTCCCACGTAGTCAACCGCGGTTTGCGTCCCGGACCCGGTGGCTTAAAACTCACGCTGGGCGCGTGTGTGTGCGTGCCCAAGATCCCAAGAGGAGAATGGAGGAGAAGGGATTGCAGCATGGCCATCCCCCCTGGGGGGTGATTTCTCACTTTCTGTCTCTCTGTCTCTCTCTGTCTGTCTGGTGAGCGCACGCGCCCTATAGCGAAAACCCCCCCAAAAAAAAAAAAAAAAAAAAAGACCCTTCATGCTGGCCACTATGTCTTTTTGACTTATTGTCACCATTTTTTGAGCTATATTTTTATAACATAAAATGACATCCCATGCTCATTTTGTACTTTCCCAGCTTTAGCTGTGGAGCCAGTCCTTGTTCTTTTCAATAGAGAATAGTATTTAGGATCCAAAATGTGTGACTTGGTGTGTTCATTGATTCCAACTCTTCTGAATTCCAGATTCTCTTAGCAGACAGGGCCAGGAAAAACAAAAGTGTGTGTGGACATGTCTGTGCATGTGTATCTATTTCTACACATTATCTGTATGTCTATATCTTGACCTACTTCTCTTTATATCTATTGTGAATTCATACTGCTATTTCCAATCACAGGGTTCGCTCTGTTTTTCCCACTTTCCACATTTGTGAATCCTTTCTTCAGTGGTAAGAAACCTGACTTCTATTGTTCATGGTATATTTACTTATTCACTCAACTACAGAATATACAAAAGGTAGTTTCTTAATTGTTAACTTATACTTCTAGGAGAGACACTGCTATTATTTAAACTTTACGGCTTGGAATTTTTGTAAAAAAATCTTTGGTTCAGAGGAATATATAGTAATTCAGACTGGGTTCAGAAGTTACTTTGGTTTGCTCTCTACCCACCCTAATGTGATTATGTTACACATTAAAAAAAAAAAATACCGGAATGTGCACGTGCTCACCACAGAGTAGAGAGAGAGAGAGAAAGCACCTCCTGGGGGAGCATGGCCACCATCCCTTCTCCTCCACTTCGCCACCAAGTCAACACTTTGGATGTGCATGCGTACACACTTGATGTGTTTTTCAAGCTGCCAGGGCCACATGGCTGTATGGTATCTGACTCCCTTAACTACAGGCCAAGGGGCCAGCCCATGTTATACATTTTAGTACAATTCTATTAGTATACTGTTTTAGGGCTTTCACCTTATCCTGGTGGATTTTATTTATGTATTGATTTTTAATATAATTGAACAATCACAATTATACAGAAAAGTATTTTCTAAGAAGTGTTGTATATCTACCTTCCCTAGTTTCTCCTAATCCGTTCCCACCTGCCCATAATTCCATCTTGTTCTACTTAGCTCTAGTAGATAGCCAGTCTCTTAAGCTTCTGGTTTATCCTTCTCTGTGTTGTTTTTCCTTCAAGCAGGTTCATTCAGACTTTCTTTCTCTTTCTTATAAAGGTGAAGTACTGTAGCTATTGGGGTCATCAGAAAAGTCACTATGCATTTTTGCATAGAAAAATAGTGAAAAAATATGTCGTGACTTTTTGATGACCCAATATTTCAATTCTGCAACTATCACTACTCTGCTTCTAGAACATTTTTATCACTCAAAAAAGAAACTCTACATCTATAATAGTCATTCCCCATTCCCCCTCCCTCTCAGCTCCTAGAAACTACTCATCTGCTTGCTGTCTTATCTCTTTGGATTTGCCTATTCTGGATATTTCATATAGTTAATCATACAGAATACAGTCATTTTTTGATACTTCATTTTTGTTATCGTCGTTGTTGTTGAACATTGTAGCTTGAAGGTAGCTATATACTAGACATTTATTTCATTCTTCCATTGCTTAGAAGTCTGTTGTGTGGATATACCATAGTTGATTAATTTATTTAACCACTCTCCTATATATAGACCTTTAGGTTATTTTCTAAAGTTTGGCTTACAAACAATGCTTCATTAAATGACCTTGTGCATATGTATGTTTGTACTGTTGGAAGTAGAACTTCACAGTAATTTCCTAGAAGTGGAATTGCTTGCTCAAAAGATAAAATCATATGTAGTTCTGTTAGTAATTGATAGTTTGTATTCCTACCAGCAATATAAGAGCTACTTCAAAAAGCTAATGGGAGGGCCAGCAGGTGGTGTGGTGGTTAAGGTGCTGGACTCCCACATGGTCGACTGCTGTTCGAGTCCTGGAACTGGTAACTTACTTCCTTACTTTCTTTCTGTCTCTCTCTGGTGAGGGTAAGTGCTCTAAAGCAAATTAAAAAATAAAATAAGATGGAAAAAATTATTTTAAAAAGCTAAAGGAAAAATGGAATTAAAGTACAAGTTTATTTTGGTGAAAAAAATTGGAAAACCACATATGATTTTTTTCATTATACACATTTCCATTAGTTTTTGCAAACTTGTGTGAATATCTACAGAGTGTTGTTGTTAGTTTTGGCTATCAGAGAGCCAAGAACTTCTAAATGAGTAAGACTGAATGTCTTTTTTTTTTACTTATTTATTT